CATGTCCGGTAGTCAGCTGAAAGCCGACGCTGGTGTAGCCGCCCTCGCAAACGCAATGCGCACTCATGGGTGTGTCAGCTTACTCGTGTCCATTTAACTTCATTAAACAGATCCCTTGAGCGTAGAAATCCCGGAATGGGTTTTAAACCTCACGTGGTATTGGCCCGATTAAAGTATGATAATATTGTGTTTACCGGCATGTGGTCTTAAACCACGCGTTTCAACTTAGCCTGATTACCCTACCCCGATTCCCGCAAAGACGAAGAAGATCAGAGAGTGCCCGTGGGTATTTCATAGCCCAGAGTCGTAGATGTGCCTACATCAAGACTTAAGTGAATGTTAGCGTACATTCGCGCTAATCTGGTGTGAGTTGGATTCACCATGACTTACGGCATGCCGAGAGTAGCTGACATCGGACTGGATTGATGAGCGTGAGTTAATCCGATTCATGCGGTTAAGAAAGCCGAAGGCTGATTGTCGAGTGTAGGGCATTGGTGACGAGGGGGAGGCATGTGTTCAGGCGAGTCCGTGTGGGTGACGGGTGTCTAGGACTGCGGCAGTTGAATCGTTAAGATTCGTCACAAGGGGGTAATCAAGGTTTACCTTAAACACAGTACGACCTTGAGAAAGCGCGCGACGGAAGACTCGCAAATTCTTGGAAGGGCGTCTAGACTTGCATCGACAGCAGCTTGGATATCTGGTCTATATCATGCGTAACCATGTCAGTAGCGTCTGAATTTGGGAATAAGTGACCGTAGTTCATCTTGATCTTGTTATTCAGCAAACCCATAGCAGACCCCTGTATTCGGCAACTGAAGTATCTGTGCGGATCGGAGGTCATCCACATTTTCCGTCGGCTTTCCCTCTTTCACTCTCATTTCCCTCACAAACCTAGAGACGTTAGTTGCAGAGATATCAAAAACCCTGTTCACTGGCGAGTAACGCCGGGGTGCATGGTTGCTTAAATTAATAGGTGTTGGACTCAATTTGTGCAACTTTTTCAGCAACGAACAGCAAATTTAATCTGGGAGATGTTGTCCACTGTTTTTCTGCAATCTGTTTTTCGAAGGCCGTTGCGAAAGAACCTTGTAGGCTTCGAGACGAATTTACGAGAATGTGGAGGAACGTCCCATCCCAAGTTCAAGAGGGTCTCTTGGGTCGTGTTAACGTGAGGTGGTCGTGTGTTGTCATGCGGTATCAGTATGGCCTGTCTGCTTCCTTGCTCACTAACTGGCCTTGTCTGATCGGACTTTTCGCTCAGTTTGTTAAACTTTCGGCTGTAGCGTTGCACTGTCACCACCTGACTAGTTTCCGGAAGTTAGTAATAAAGTACATTCTTCATGTTCCATCAGATTCACGGGAGAACCTTCTTCGTGTGGATGTCTTGTTCCGGCGTCGATTTACTGAGTTGCCCGTGATCTACCCTCGACCCTTTTTTGCATTTGGGATTCTCGGGTGGAAATGTACTTTTAATCACCGGTCACAATTTTCCACTAAAAATCCATCCACTGCTTGTTGTCGTCGAGCAAACAATGAAAGGCATATGTTCATAAGGCGACCTATAGTGTGTTCGGTTAACACATGTGGGTGACTTCTAACTGAGCTCCTGCTAGCTGTTGCTGCGTTTGAGTCTTCTTCCAGTTGAGCTTGCGATTTCGCATCTTTAAAGCTTCGAGGCTGCTGTCCGGGGCGCGGCTGGTCACTAAGATCGAAACCACCGCTTCTAAAACGTTTTTACCAATAACTACACGTTTCCTAAGACACAACGTCTGCATCAAGAACACTACAAATTGATTATCATTCTTTGGACGCATTGTTCCTCCATGGAATTTGCACAAAAAGCAGCGTCATCGTACGTACTGTTTATCAGTTTCCATCGTAAACCCTGCGTCCGATCCTTTCAAAGGCACAAAATACCGTACAAGCTAAGCCATACACCCAAGTTTTTATAAAACCACGGTTACTCTTACCTATACTCAACGAGATGACAGTTAACTTGCTTAATTTGAACTAGCCCCGTCTTTCGGCCTTGTCTACTACATGGCTATCTGTAATTTGACAGTCTTTATTACTAATTTCTGCCTTTTGCAACCGACACGCCTTTACACAGCATCTATACGATTGCCCTGGGAAACGGCCAAGGTTGTCGACAAACGGAGCGTTGGCTGGCGGAAGCAGTCGAAGCCGGCGTCTTCTTCCCTCTGGTGATACGCTACACCATTGTTAGTGAAGCAGGCGCGTCCATCTACTCGGCCTCTCCCCTCGCCGACACCGAACTGCCCGACCTGGACGTCTCCGTGCGCGGTGCCGTGTCGATCGCTCGGCGGCTGCAGGATCCGCTCGCGGAGATGGTGAAGATCGAGCCGCGTCACCTTGGTGTGGGCATGTACCAGCACGATCTGCCGCACAAACGCCTCGAGGAGGTCGTGAACGAGGTCATGGAGGAGTGCATCTCGTTTGTCGGCGTCGACGTCAACACGGCCCAGCAACACGTGCTTGCCAGAGTTGCGGGCCTGTCGCAAGCCAAGGCCAAGGAAATAATCAACTACCGCACAAAGCACGGCCGTTTTCGCTGTCGAAATGAACTCAACAAGGTGAAGGGCATCGGACCGGCCACTTACGCGCAGTGTGCTGGGTTTCTTCGAGTTAAACCCGTCTTCTGTCCTACCAGAATGGACGCCTCCAGGTGAGACTTCTTCACTCCCTAATCGCGAGGTGTGTTGTCTTGTAAATTGGCCAATCAATTTCTCCATCTCCTTAGAGACGTCGACTTCATATCACTGTGTACGGAGGATGAAGATGGCGCCGATGACATTGAAATGGAGGTGATTTGCAGTGGCAAGCGATGTCGTCTGGTTTCTGCAGAACCCGGTGCTCCCCTCAAAAAATTACGTCACACCTCACCTTCAACGACTACCACCGATGACGCCTACTTCAATCCCCTCGACCAGACAGCGATCCATCCCGCCTCATACGGTGTTGCGACGGCGTAAGCCACTTCCATTTTTGATTATTCGCTGTCGCTTCCGGTATCACTTTCTCCTGTCCCATCCACTTCAAGGCTAGTTGAACACTTGAGGCATGAAATCAGCGACGTCGGCTGCATGCCGCTTCGCAACAAGGCGAAAGCGCTTTTCGCCTCCCCGAATCGTGAGTTGGGTGCTTTTGCGTTCCTCCTCCTCTCTCGGTCTAACGCAGTCTTTTTCAACCAGGCGATGCTGTTCTGGCCGCGTTTACAACCGAGGAGTTTGGTCTGGAAACAGTCCGTGATATTCTCGACGCGCTCTGCCGTCCGCTTGACTTCGATGAACGCGAAAGTACGTGAAAACGGATCGGTTGTAGGACGTAGGGCTGTTTTATTCCCTTCCATCAACCGCTTTCTTTTTATTCTTCTCGCCAAGGTCAATTTGTCCCACTCTTCCGTTCCTCGGTCATATCCATATCGAATCTTAGGAAGGACCTTCAGGTGACGGGCCGCGTGGAGAACGTCACGACATTCGGTGCGTTCGTGGACATTGGGGTGGAGGAGAACGCCTTCATTCCAATTCAAAAGTTCCCCAGACAGACGGGCATGCGACGCCTTCTCGCGACCAGTGGCGTTGCTGTCGGTGGCATTTTCGCAGCCAATCGGATTAGTGGTGGTGGCGAGGGGGTCATGCACTTGCCACTGCACCTGGGAGACCGCATTCAAGCCACTATCGAGTCTTTTTGCGCACACACAAAGCGCATTTCTCTGACAGACGTTGAATTGCTCAGGTGATTGCCCACCTCTAGTCATGTTTGACTGTATGGAATGTGGAATGGAGAATGCCAGTCTTCTTTGTGTGGCAACAGAGTGTAAATATGGTGTTTATGATCAAACATCGTACCTTTTTATCACTCAATTTCTCTTAATTCTCGGGATTTCGGGGGGGGGGGGGGGTAAAGCAAGGTGAAGTAAAGTAATGTTAAGCATTGATGTGTGTGTGGGGGGGGATGTGTTCGACTGACAGCTCTGCTGGCATCCTTGTTCATTTCTCCGAAATTATCAGATGATTCACGTGGAAACACTAGTTTCCATATCTAAAGGCCCTAAATGTGCATCAGATTCGGGTAGAGCTAGGAGAAGACCTGACCTCGTGGGAAGAACCTTTACTCTCTCAGCCGAAGACCGAGAGCACGTTAAGAGGTGCTAACGTATAAATGGCCAATAAGAAGGGGCCGGCTGATTTGAATTCAAAAGATGGTGTGCATAAAGGAGGTTGTTAATTAAAAGTATAAAATTGTCAAAGGCTTGGAAGACGTAGTCTTGGGTTAATAGTGCTTTTTCCCTTGGTCGCGACGGAGTAGTGTTAGTCCTCGCCGGTTTCTGCAACTCTATTTTGGTGGTGATGACCGTTTCACCGCTAGCTGGCGTCTGGTTGTTCTTGTGAAACACGCGTTGAAGTGGGCATTCGAAAAATATAGGCTCTAGGGCGCTGACTCTGTGTGTCCACGCCTTGATATCTCATCTATATGTCGCGACTCACCTCTACGCCTACGATGACCCTTCCGTGTCGCCATGAGATCGTCTGTTTGATCCATAGGTCACGTCCTGGTTGGAAGTCTCGAGAGTTCTAACTTCAAATGGCCTAGTTTGTTCCACATGGGGAGAGAGCTGGAGGCGCATCCGTTTCTGGAGCGAGGGAACTGTAAACGTCCTTGGAGAATTCATGTCTCCCTGCTGACATTGAGAGCAGCCTATGTTGGTCCATTAGAGGACAATAAACATAGATGATGGCGATCGACTTCTAACCACCGATTTTGGGGTTCCGTGAATGAAGTTGGTGAACGAATAAATTTGGGTATCACGATGCACTTTCCACACACCAAGCATAAATCTACAAAGCAGAGAGACTTGAGTTGCTGGAACAACTGCTAGAGTTCTCCGGTGAGAGAACGCTCTGCGCTACTGTAGAATACCCGAGCCCTAATAGGTAAAAGACCGGTACAACAGAACAGGCTTTATTGACCAATCACAAGCCAGAGCCTCACGTCAGGCGCCTTCCATCCGAGTCAGCCACGCTGGCCACGCCGCTCATTATATACTCCATCTCATCCATGTCCTTCTCTGGTTGGCTGCCTTCCTTTCCCACATGCTAATGGATCGCAGAGAGACACGGGATTGGCTGAGGCCAGGTGGTCCAACATGTCTGCGTCCTAATCCGACGCCACAATGCCTCCCCCTTAGGAGTGAAGCTGTCCTCAGCTTCTGGCTTGGTTCCTTGCACTGTTGTTGATATCCAGTGTTGGTAAA